ATGGGTGTTTTCAGCCTTTCAGCTCCCTTTGCAGACTTTGACCTGTGTTCCTAAGAAACTAAACTGTAAAACAAAGAACCAAGAAGTGCTGACATCAGTTGGCCCCCTACTGTATTTGTGTAGAGATTATTCATTATGAAATCATTGTCCTGCTTACCACGCAGTTAAAGTTCAGAAGAAAGAAAAAGTACATTCATGTCTTTATTAAAATACTCAGAGGCTTTGTTTTTCAAGAACAATGATGTCAGGCAGGAAAGAAAGCAATATAATAAACAGCAGGTTGTATTTTGCAATTGATGGTGTCTTCCAGCTCAAATTGCCTTGCTTTGTTTTCATGATGAAAATGAATATTGGTGTTGCCGCAGCCTTAAATTTATAGTCACGCTTCATTTTAGGTTTGGCTAAGTTTCACTTTATAAATGGTTAATAAGCCAGCTGTTAATAAATGTGCAGTGTACTACAGATAGAGTAATTTAAATTCTGTATATACCGCTAGTATATATCCCTAGTGTATTTACCCCCAGCAATCGTTACTAGAAGCTAGTCAATATTACATGTATGTTAAACTATTAATACTTTATTAATATATTCCACATATAAATGAAATGTGTATCCTGTAATCTGAAGTGTCACCACTATAGAATCCTGAGAAGTTAATGCATGCCCAGAATACTTAGGTATGTTTATGTAACTCTTCTTGTTAACAAGGAGTGCGAAGCAAATGGAAAATAACAATGAGCAGCACGTTTTTTGTATTTCTGTACAATATATTAATGATCCAGTTGCCTGGTTTTAATAGGGTTGCCATTTCAGTTGTGAAAAACTAGTTTGTATTTACTGGGAAAGAAGGTTACTATGTTTAAATATTGAGTTCAGTATGTGGCACATCGTATTTCTTGCAGTTTGTTTTTGTCTCAGTGACTTACCTACAAATGTTATTTTGTATGTGAGGCACTCCACTTTGCTCCCATACTCCAAAGACATGCTGGTAGGTTAATTAGCTTCTGAGAAAATCAGCCCTGGTGTGAGTGTGTGTCTGTGTCTGTCTGCCCTGCGATGGACTGGCGTCCACTCCAGGGTGTATCCTGCCTTTTGCCCTTTGCTTGATAGGATACGCTCCAGCTCCCCTACAACCTTACATTGGATAAAACAGTTCGAAACTGGATGGATGTATTTGTTGTTTCCTGCACCTTTAATAGACCCCCCTAATATACCACTATATAACTTTATCTGTGCTTTCCATTATTTATAATACAGTTTTGTTACAGAAGTTCACACATTTTTGCTGGGCAGCCTTAGTCCTACAATGGCACCTCTTGTGATGCATGTCCATTCACTGTTGGTCATGTGTTTTTCCATGTTGGATATAAAATCTTGTTTCAGGTCTTTCTTCAAGTAAAAAAAAAATCTTTTAAAATGAAATGAATCCATTTCACACTGGAAGTTGCAATCACACACTAGGGTCAGTTAGGTCTACCTCTGTTGTATCCCTCTGTTCCTGTGGTTGCACCTGACCTGAAGAAAAGATTTAGACAAACCTAGAGCACTGTGTCAAGACACAAGCACGTTTTAATTAAGCAAAGCTTTTCCCTCCTGCAGAGAGCTTCTGTTGTCGCCTTTCTCCTTTTTTATTTGAAAGGCTCTGAGTGGGTTGAAGTGGATCCTATCCACCATCTTGTCAAATAGAATGACTTGTGGCTGAGTTCCTTCCACAGTTCCTGTCACATCTCCTAGCAACCCAGGTCTTTCCTTCAGAAAGAGTCATGTGAACACCAGGATAATGAGCTACCCCAGGAGGAGGCAGAGAGGGCAGCCCCTGACCTTAGGAAGTGGTAGCGTGAGAAAAATACTTTCTATATCTTGGAAAATAGGTGTTAGTCAAAAATATATAATTAACCTCATAGGATGTCACAAGACTATAGCTATTAATGAGTGAAATTTGTATTTTCTATCAATCAACCAGTTTATTTATCAAATACACAGCAATACAGCGTGCATCAGTAATTGCTGGCAATGAAATGTCTTTTCTGCAAACTCACCGGGGAAAAATAAAAATCACAAAATTAAAAGTTACAGAATAAGGTTACATAATAATAGTGCAATAAAAATTAAATATAAATTAGAACTGCTACATATCCAGGGTGTATACAGAAATTATGTCTAAATAGTGCAATATGCAGTGTGCCAAATACAATGGAAAACTGTATGTCAATGTACTGTAACCTGACTATTTAACAAAGACCATTAGGGTGATTGCTGAAGGTTACTGCAACATGGCTGTTTAGCAGTCTTATTGCCTGGAGGTAGAAGCTGTACCGTAGTCAATTGGTCTTTGACTGAATGCTTCGATACCGTTTACCAGACGGTAGGAGAGAAAACAGTTTATGACTTGGATGAATTGGGTCATTGAGAATAGACCTGGCCTTCTTAAGACATCTAGCTAAGTAGATATCCTGGATGTTTGGTAGCTCACAGCCGATAATGAGCTACGCTGACTTCAGCACCTTCTGCAGTACTTTGCAATCCAGGGCAGAGCAGCTCCCATACCAGGCAGTGATGAAACCAGTCAGGATACTCTCAATAGTGCACCTGTAGAAGTTGGTCTGGTTATGTTATGGCATGCCAAACTTCTTTAGCCTGTGGAGATAGAATAGGCCCTGCTGTGCTGTTTTGACCATGATGTACGTATGGTGAGACCAGATTAAGTCCTCTGTGATGTTAACTCCCAGGAGCTTAAAACTGCTGACCCTCTCCACTGCAGGCCCGTTAGAGTAGATAGGTGTGTGACCTCCTCCCTGATGTTTCCTTTAATCCACAATCATCTCCTTAGTCTTACTGATGTTCAGAGAGAGGTTGTTATCCTGGCACCATGCTGCCAGGGTTTCAACCTCCTCCCTGTACGCAGACTCCTCACCTTCTTTGATCAGTCCAATGACTGTTGTATCGTCCGCAAACTTAATGATGGAGTTTGAGTTATGCCTGGTGACACAATCATGGGTAAATAAGAAGTAGAGGACAGGGCTAAGTTCACAGCCTTGGGGGGCTCCAGTGTTTAGAGACAGTGTAGAGGGTATGTTGGTGCCCACCCTCACGACCTGTGGACATCCTGTCAGGAAGTCCAGGATCCAATTACAGAGGGAGCTGTTCAGTCCCAGGTCCTGGAGTTTGATGACAAGCTTTGAGGGCACTATGGTGTTAAAGCAGGAAGGAACTATAGACTGAGCAAGAGAAAGATTGAATATGTCTGAGAAGACATCTGTCATCTGGTCGGCACATGCCTTCAAAAGACGGCCAGGGATAGCATCAGGGCCAGGAGACTTCTGTAAATTAGTCTTTTTAAAAACTTTACACACATCTGCTTTGGATATGATCAGTGGGTGTTCACCCTTGGTTATTGGGATCCTTCTGGCTGGATCTGTGTTATTGACCTCAAACTGAGCATAGAATTAATCTAGCTCATCAGGAAGAAAGGCAGACTGTTGTGTGATATAGCCGAGTTGCACTTTGTAGTCAGTAATAATGCATAATTCCACTCCACATGTTCCGGGTGTTGCAGCCGTGATAATATGATTCTAATTTAACTCTATAGTTGTATTTGACTTTTCTGAGGTCGTATCTGGATTTTTTATTTCTATCCATGTCGTCAGAATTGAAAAAAGTGTCCTAGTTTTAGCCTTCGCGCGTATTTCGCCATTTACCCACGATTTTTGATTAGGGTATGTGCGAACAGTAATCCTGGGGACCACGTCTTCAATGCATTTATTGATGTAGCCAGTAACATAATCCGCATACAGATTGATATGATTTCTGGCAGCTTTACAGAAGATTTGCCAGTCAGTGGTAGCAAAACAGTGACTTAATATAAAATCCGATTCATCCGACCAGCGTTGAATTGTTCTTAACACTGGCCTCTCCGGCTTAAGCTTCTGCTTGTAAACGGGAAGTGGCAGAATGGAGGTGTGATCGGTTTTGCCGAAAGGAGGTTGGGGGAGAGTTTTGTAACCATCCCGGAAGGGAGTGTAAACCTTATCCAATGTGTTTGTTCCGCGCATCGGGCAGTTGATATGTCGATGAAGATTAGGCATTGTTCTCTTCAAGTTTGCGCCGTACAAATCACCCGCGATAATGAATGCCCCCTCAGGGTGTGTATTCTCATATCTGTTTAGGTGTCTGTGAAATTCATCCATCGCCCTTGTTGTATTGGCCTTTGGGGGAATATGCACCGCTGTGAGGACTACCATTGTGAATTCCCTCGGTAGACAGAGAGGGCGACATTTTATTGTCTGGTGTTCAAGGTGCGGAGAGCATGACTCTGAAATAATCTCCACGTCTGTGCACCAGGAGTTGTTTACCACGAAGTATACTCCGCCACCCTTGCTCTTACCCGAATCCATTGATCTGTGCTGGCGGTAGATAGAAAATCCTCCCGGGAGGATAGTAGAGTCCGAATAGACGGGTCAAGCCAGGTTTCGATAAACGCCAGCACAGTGCAGTTCTTGACGTCCCATTGGAAAGAAAGCCTTTCTCTCAGTTCATCCAGCTTATCGTCCAGTGACTGAACATTAGTAAGAAGTATACTCAGGAGCGGGGGACGATTACTGTGCTGCCTCAATCTAACCAGAACGCTCGCTCGTTTACCCCTCTTCCTACGACACCGTCTTCTTTCAGGTAAAGGTAAGACGCCACAGTCGACAGTTAATATTTGGTGTAAATTGTAACAGTGCCAATAGTCGATCTTATGTCTTACTGTATGTCCATAAGTGTTTGTCTGTCATATGTAATCACCAAGCAAACAGCATGTGCATTTAGCAGTACAAAAAACAACATGAAATAAACAGAAACGAATGGGAGCTCGCAGGAAGGCAGCCTTCCCCTGTCGGTGGCATTTTATAATGCTAAGTATCTGATGTTTAAGTATAATAATACTTTATCAGTCTCCTGAATCCTAAATTTGTCATTTCAAGGAGAACCCATGACATCTTCATGTTTTCTCATTATAGATCACACACGCCAGGCAATGGGTCAGAGCTGCAGGAAGATATATTGGATACGGTTTCCCCAGACAAAGCTGAACAGGACAGCGGAGTAAAAGTGGAGAATAATCTTCCCTCCCTCTGCCTGAAACAAGTCTTCCCCAAATACACCAAGCAGTTTAACTACCTGCGCACCGTTGAGCGCATCGCCACGCTGTTCATGAGGTTCCTGGGAGTGAAGGGGACAATGAGGCTTGGCCCTACTGGATTTCGAACATTTATCAGGTATGGGCTTGACTGTGTTTTGTGTAGCTTCTAGTCTACACAAACTAGAGATATGCAACAGCAGCGCTGTTTGATAAGGCTGAATTTAGAAGCATAGTGGGTTTGCGTGTAGAGCAACTGATACTTATGGGAATGGAAATAAAAACATGATTTAAAAAAGATGTAAAATTAAATACTCGTGTGAAATAATGGAGTATAAATCTTAAGTTTAGCATCACATAGAGGCAAATGTTGTTGCTGTTTTTTTTTCTGCCGTATGTAGTTAAGAGTTTGAATTTTAGACTTGCTGGTTGCCAATTGGATCCTGAATGGCGTACAAATGAAAAACGGTAAGATAGTCCAAAAAGACCCTTTCATAAAAAGCTCTCTCAGTCACAGCCGATTTAAGTTCACTGTCTTGCATCATTATTTTATGTCTTTCAGAAACTGTAAGCTTAGCAACAGCAACTTCTCCATGGCATCGGTGGATATTCTCTACATTGATATTACTAGAAGATGGAATGGCATGGGATCAGATCAGAAAGAATCAGGTACTGGCAAAAGCTCAGACAAGCATGCTGTATT